TTTGCGTCTCAGAGACGGTCTATTACTCCACTAATAACAAAGGCATATCAGCTTTATTTCGGTTGTAAACTAGGTGATCAAGACAAACAGTGGGCACCCCACATCTGCTGTAATACATGTGCTTCAAGTCTGAGGAGCTGGTTAAATGGCAAAAAACGGTCTATGCGCTTTGCTGTCCCAATGGTTTGGAGGGAGCCTACAAATCATATTAATGATTGTTACTTTTGCATGGTACCTTGTGTTGGACAAGTCACAGGTATGTCCAAGAAAAAAAAATCGGTTATTAACTACCCCAACATACCATCTGCGATGAGACCTGTGCCTCACAGTGACGAAAATCCTATTCCAAAACCCCCAGAATCCTACACTTGCAAATCAGATCATGGCGATCGAGTGATTCGTCAGGAAGCAGATATGCCATCAACGTCAAGAGATCCTGATTTTATACCGAGCACGTCATGCCACCAACCGCACAAAATAACACAGTCAGAATTAAATAATCTTGTAAGAGATTTAGAACTTCTAAAATGTAAGGCAGAGTTACTTGGATCAAGACTGCAGCAGTGGAACTTGTTAGAAGACGATGTTTCGGTATGTGTTTTTCGTAAACGCCACAAAGACTTAGAACCATTTTTCAATATGGAGAATAACTTGGTTTTCTGCAGTAACATTAACGGCTTACTGGCGGTTTTAAATATAAACTATAACCCAGAAGAATGGAGATTGTTTATAGACAGTTCAACATTGAGTTTAAAGGCAGTGTTATTGCATATTGGAAATATTTTACCATCTCTTCCTGTAGGGTATGCAGTTCACATGAAAGAATCATATGACAATTTGAAGTACCTATTTATTGACATGCATAAAATACGATGAGCACCAATGGCATATTTGTGGCGATTTGAAAGTTGTTGCACTTTTACTTGGGCTGCAGCTAGGCTACACAAAGTTTTGCTGTTTTTTGTGTGAATGGGACAGTCGGGGAAAGGCACTTCATTACACCAGACAAAACTGGCCTGTTCGTCAATTCCTAGAGCCAGGTCAAAAAAATGTACAGCATATGCCATTAGTAGATTCGAAAAAAATTTTATTACCACAACTGCATATCAAGTTGGACCTAATGAAAAACTTTGTCAAGGCATTAGATAGAGATGGGTCAGCTTTTCAATACCTGCGTCAGAAATTTCCAAGACTAAGTGAGGCAAAGGTTAAAGAAGGTATTTTTGTTGGGCCACAGATTCGAAATATTTTGAAAGATACACAGTTTGAAAACACTTTAACAGGTATCGAAAAAACTGCTTGGAATGATTTCCGTCTGGTGGTCACTAATTTCTTGGGAAATAGAAAAGCTGACAGCTATAAAACCCTTGTCAAAAATATGCTGTCATCGTATCAAAAGATGGGCTGTAATATGTCTCTTAAGATACATTTCCTACACTCACACCTGGACTTTTTTCCTGACAATTGCGGAGCTGTAAAAGATGAGCACGGCGAACGTTTTCATCAGGATATTTCAACAATGGAAAAAAGGTACCAGGGAAAGTGGAATCCTTCCATGCTTGCAGACTACTGTTGGACTCTTGGTAGAGATGCTCCAGAAACGATCCATAAAAGAACAGCAAAAAGACAGCGCATATAGTGATTCTTATAAGTATATGAATCTTGTTACTTTTTTTAATATATCCTTAAAAACAAAAAGTTTTTTTCTAAACCGCAACTAATTTTTTTATTTCATTGTCATTTTTGGATTCAGCGCCCCAAAATCAACAAAAAAGTGCACTTTTCCCACAAGATACAATTAAAAAACTAAAATTTGTTGTCCAGTGTATCCAGAGGTCGAGGATTCAGTAAGTGAACCTACCTAATCATGATTCGATTTCGCCTTTTTAAACGACATGACCTATCCCTTCCTTTGTAACATTCAGCGAGGACGTAGGAAGTATAAAAGTCAATCTACTCGACGACACTTTTTCCGTCACAACTTAAGGCCTTTCGTGCGCCGCTGGACGTCATCATCGTGTTGCGCGCACACCAGCGGCAGAGATGATGAGACGTGAACGCAGTCGGACGTGAAATTACATCTGGGGTGGCTGAGGGCTGCCGGGGGTGGCTGGTGGCTGTGGAGGCGGTATGCGTGGAAGGCTAAGGGACCGGACCTGGCACCGCGTCGAGAATGCCAGGAAAGGTTGGACGTGATGGCAGGATGCGACAGAACAGCCGGCCGCTGAGACGTCTTGATTAGCTGGCCGATCACGTTTCATGATGACGGATCCTCCTAATTTCAGCTCGTTTCTATTTAACGTTGATGAGGAAAGTATTCATTTATATTTCTGCTTTATTGTCGATTCAACGAATGACATCAAGCAGCTTGCCAGTCAGTAGCTTTGCGATAGTAATCAGTTAGCTTTAAGCATGTACGTAAGAGAGGTCATTTATTTCTCATCAAGGTCTCTTTTCAGAGCGATACATCTGACCCAGCGAGGCTCCAAGTTCTTTAACCCGTCTGGAAAATTCGTTTTCTGGAGGCTGTCCTTTGGTGTCTGATCTGTGGATCCCTGTTTCGTGGACGGTCACCAAACGACGCAGACACTCCCGGATTGCGCTTAAACGGCATCAAACACTGCTATGAAATGGTCTCACGGTTGCGCTTTTTCCATTTTTCTAAAATCTACGGACGCACGAGGTCAAAACAAAACTACAGTAGCCGTATACGAAAATTTGGCTCCATCGGACGGTGAGGTTGAATACTTACCGGACCGCCCTCGTATACCAAATGAATCAAGTTAGTCAAACTGTCCGACCACATGTTGCAAGAGTCACAATAGACTTCTTTCAACATAATGATGTCACATTGTTACCATGGCCACCAAGATCTCCCGACTTATCCCCAATTGAGCACGTGTGGGATATGATGGGTAGGAGATTGCTCAATTTGCAACGTCCTCCTCAGACTCTAGAAGCACTTCGAGAGGAGTTGGTGGTTGCCTGGAATGAGATACCACAGGAGGACATCGACCACCCGATCAGAAGCATGCCTAGGCGCGTTGGAGAATGCGTAGCACATCAGGGTGCATCCACACATTATTAAAGGTCAAAGGGCTTTAAAGCAGTGCAATCATATTGAAATTTTTATCATTTACTTATTATGCTTCATTAAGTACTTATACAAAATTTTATTAAAATAAAACCATTTAAACTGGGTGTTCGGATTTATATGTCACTTAGTATACGTTGAGTTGAGTTTAGAAGATGCTGGAATTGGTTGTCCTGAACTTCTTGACATAATAACAACCGGTCCGTAATTTCGCGTCGAACATTTTCAAACATCGTAACATCGATATTTCTACAAATATTTATTATTCTCAGCCGTCGCTTCGATTTTTACTTCCTATGGACGAGAATTGACCATTTTAAATAGTATCTAGCACTAAAACCGAAAACTAAATAAGAATATTTTAACTGTAAAATGACGTTTGTTTTCGTACTGTTATTCTTGTCACTGTCAACCAAAAATAACAAAACAAGTTTTTATCCACCATACCGGTCCGTAATTTCGCGTCGAATATTTTCGAACATCGTAACATCGATATTTCTACAAATATTTATTATTCTCAGCCGTCGCTCCGATTTTTACTTCCTAAGGACGAGAATTGACCATTTTAAATATACTAAGTGACATATAAATCCGAACACCCAGTTTAAATGGTTTTATTTTAATAAAATGTTGTATAAGTACTTAATGAAGCATAATAAGTAAATGATAAAAATTTCAAAATGATTGCACTGCTTTAAAGCCCTTTGACCTTTAATAATGTGTGGATGCACCCTGATGTGCTACGCATTCTCCAACGCGCCTAGGCATGCTTCTGATCAGGTGGTCAATGTCCTCCTGTGGTATCTCATTCCAGGCAACCACCAACTCCTCTCGAAGTGCTTCTAGAGTCTGAGGAGGACGTTGCAAGTTGAGCAATCTCCTACCCATCATATCCGACACGTGCTCAATTGGGGATAAGTCGGGAGATCTTGGTGGCCATGGTAACAATGTGACATCATTATGTTGAAAGAAGTCTATTGTGACTCTTGCAACATGTGGTCGGGCATTATCTTGTTGGAAAGTTGGATCTGCCAGGGTGTCAAGATAGGGTAAAAGATGGGGTTCTAGAACTTCGTGGATATAACGCTGCGCGTTCATGTTACCTCTGATGAAGATTAAAGGTGACTTGGAACCATAAGCTATAGCACCCCAAACCATAACTCCAACAGTGTGATGAACATGTCTTTCAACAAAAAACTGTGGATTCCTCCTTTCACCACGTCGCCTTTTAACCCTGGCACGACCATCGTGCATGCCTAAACAAAATCGAGACTCGTCACTAAAGACAATACTGTTCCATTCCTGATCCCAGAATGACCGTTGTCTGCACCACTCAAGGCGATTACGTCGGTGTTCTCGAGTTAAAGGGAGGACCCAGTGTGGCCGGTATGAAAACAAGCCAAAACTTCTCATTCATCACATAGCGGCTTCGATGGCCCTTACTCAGGAGATCACTCGAGGCCGACATGACGTGGCTCTCATCCAGGAACCCTGGCTGAGAAACGGTTCAGTAAACGGGCTTAGTATACCGGGCTATACGCTTTTTAGCGATACTCCGGACACTAAGCCCAGAGCTTGCGTAATGACTTCCGTCAACTCATGGCAACTTAAAGAATTTACATTCAGAGACTTAGTTGCAGTCAGAATTAGATATAAGAAGGAAGGCAGTGACAGGGACTTGGTTGTCTGTTCGGCTTACCTTCCTTACGATTCAAGAGACCCTCCTCCGTCTAAGGAAATGGGGGACCTTGTCGCATTCTGTAGGGATTCTGGACTCGACCTTGTGATTGGATGCGACAGTAATGCCCATCACGTTGCGTGGGGCAGCTCGAACACCAACAGACGGGGCGAAGACCTGATGGAGTTTCTTGGGGCATCGAACCTTGAGGTTCTGAATGTCGGTAACATGCCCACTTTCAGCAATAGTGTAAGAGAAGAGGTTATCGACGTAACACTGAGCACGCTTAACTTAGCTCAGGACATCAGGGACTGGAAAGTGTCTCTAACACCCTCTCTATCGGATCACAGGTATATACTGTTCAAGACTGATGGAGAGATTCCGGATAAATATGCTCGGAATCCCAGGCATACTAGATGGGGGTCCTTTAGGGCAGACATTGACAGTAAGCTTGGAGCGGTCCCATACAGGCTTGGCAGGGGCTCTGACATAGAAGCAGCTGTCGAGTCTCTGAGCAGGGACTTGACGGCCGCATATGAGGAAAACTGCCCGTTACGCAAAGTACAAGGTAAGGGCAAGGCAACCTTCTGGACCAAAGATTTAGAGGATAGAAAGCGAGCGGTGCACAAACTTCTTAGCAGAGTTAAGCACAGGAGAGGTTCTCCTCTATGGGAAGAATACAAAAAGGCATTGCAGGAGTACAAAAAGGAGATTAGAAGGGCCTCCAGAGAATCCTGGAGGCACTTCTGTCAGTCCATAAATGACATTCCTGCTACTGCAAGAATACACAGAGTCCTATGCAAAGACATTAAAGCAAGATTGGGATCTCTGCATGATCCCTCGGGGGGGAACACTACTTCCGAGGAAGATACTCTGAGGCTTCTGATGGATACGCACTTTCCCGGTTCCACAGTAGCGCGATCAATCACAGAGTGCATGCAGTTGCGCAGGCCCTCAAGGGAGGACTGGCGCACGGCAAGGGAGATTGTCACCTTCGAAAGGACGGTATGGGCAGTAGATTCGTTTGCCCCATACAAAAGTCCAGGTCTGGACGGCGTATTTCCGGCCATGTTACAGCAGGGACGGATTTCGGTTGTTCCTTACCTGTTGAATGTGTTTCGAGCATGTGTGGCCACGGGCTTCACACCTAGAAGTTGGCGGCAGGCTAAAGTGGTATTCATTCCTAAACCGGGCAGAGATAGATATACTGGCCCGAAGGATTTTCGACCGATTACTCTTTCATCTTTTGTGCTTAAGACCCTGGAAAGGATAGTTGATAGATACCTAAGGGATGGCCCACTGGAAAGGTGTGTCATTCATGCAAATCAGTTTGCATACCAAGCTGGAAAATCGACTGATCTGGCCTTACACAATCTGGTCGGGAGGCTGGAGAAGACTCTAGATCAGCGAGAAGTGGCACTCGTGGCCTTCTTAGATATTGAAGGTGCATTTAATTGCACCACAACCGACTCTATCAGACAGGCCTTGGTTAGACAGGGGGTTGGATCAATCCTAATAGATTGGGTCCTCTCTACTCTGGAGGGTCGGGTAACAACAGCTATGCTGAATAACGTAAGCTGCAGCGTGAACGTAGCTAGAGGCTGCCCTCAGGGTGGAGTTCTGTCACCCCTACTGTGGTGTATCGTGGTGAACGAACAGCTCGTTAGGCTCAACAGTATGGGTGTCTACGTGCAAGCCTATGCTGATGACGTAAGCATAGTGGTTAGGGGGCGTTTCTGTAGAACAGTCTCGGAAATTATGCAGGGCGCTCTGCGCTCCGTGGAATCGTGGTGTAGGGAAGTCGATCTTTCTGTTAATGCTGAAAAGACCGAGCTGATCCTATTCACTAGGAGAAGAAGGCTTGACGGACTGGTCATGCCTACCTTCTTTGGGACTAGATTAGTTTTGTCCCAGTCAGCGAAATATCTGGGAATTATCCTGGACTGCAAACTGAACTGGAGAGAGCATGTGGAACACAAGGTTAGCAAGGCTCGCAATTCGATGTGGGCTTGTAGACGTGTTGTCGGTGTAAGGTGGGGGCTTAAACCCAAAGTGGTATACTGGCTCTACACGACGATAGTACGTCCATCTCTCTTGTACGGCTCCCTGGTCTGGTGGCCTTGCATTAGAACTCAATAAAATTCAGCGTTTGGCCTGTATTAGCATTACGAGCGCAGTGCGAACAACGCCATTGAGTGCAATGGAAGCTCTGTTGGATCTCCCACCGTTGGATCTGGTGATCCGCGGTGAAGCGAGAGTAGTCGCTCATCGACTGTGGAGTCAGGGCTGCTGGGCTTTCTTGAATCCGGTCAAGGGGCATACTGCCATATTAGTCGAATTAGAAAGGGAGGACCCCGTCCTTCTAAGCAGGGGTGATCGTATTACCCCTAAATATCGCTTCAACCGCAAGTTCATTGTGGAGTACCCAACGAGGGAGGAGTGGGACGCCGGTAGCCGAGGACTCTCCGAAGTGAGCGGGCAGGTCTGGTACACGGACGGCTCGGTCACCGAAGAGGGCTCAGGTGCTGGGGTCTCTGGACCTAGTACTAGGCTATCTCTGCCTCTCGGTGAGTACACCACCATTTTCCAGGCGGAAATCTTTGCGATTCTGGCTTGTGTATCTCACATTCTGGAGGAGGGTGGGCCTAGGAGAAGAATAACAATCTTATCCGACAGCCAGGCTGCAATGAAAGCACTAAGTGCATGTAAGATTACTTCGAGTCTTGTATTGCAATGCAGGGAGGCTCTGGATTGCCTCGCAGCGAGGCATCCGGTATCGTTAATATGGGTACCGGGGCACGCTGGGATAAGGGGCAATGAGACGGCGGACACTCTGGCGAAAACAGGATCAGCCAGCAAGCTCGTTGGTCCTGAGCCAGCTCTAGGAGTAACCGCGCATAAAGCTAGGAGGAAAATGGAGACGTGGGTTGCAAGACAACACTCTCAGAAATGGAGAAGTATCTCTAGACATCTCCGCCAGGCACGAGAGCTCATTGAAGGGCCCAGTGCTAAGGATGGACGCTTCTGCCTATCTCTGGGTAGAGCCAACCTAAGGTTGCTGGTGGGACTGTTGTCTGGCCATAACACGTTAAGGCGGCACCTGCACGTGATGGGGGTGGCTGAGGATCCCTTGTGCGAACGCTGCGGAGTAGAGGAAGAGACCTCGGCGCACGTTTTGTGTCGCTGTGAAGCTCTGAGCTACTATAGGCAGACTATACTGGGGTCCATTACTTTGGACCCTCAGAACGTAAAGGAGCTTGGACTCAAGGCGATTCTCAACTTCGCTAAAAGGGCGAGGCTTGTGATTTAAGTATTGTAGAGGTGCATAAGGGCCCGCTTAAGCGGACTATGCACTGGCTCCTTATGGTGGCCGGGATGCCTCTAAAATTCAAGATTCATTCATTCTCATTCATCGGTAAATACTTCGCATGCCAATAGGTCTTCCGTGTTCTGCAAACCATTCATTTGCAATGGACCTGGTAGTGGAGAAACGGTCCCTTAAGACCAATAATCTTAGGCGGCGATCTTCACGGTCTGTTGTTCTACGGCGGCGTCCAGTGCCCCTTGCTCTTTGCGTACGGCCTTCTCGAAGCCATGCCTGACAACACTTAACCACAGTGTCTACACTTCTTTGCACTCTAACTGCAATTGCCCGAAAAGAAAGTCCAGCTTCCCGAAGTCCCACTATACGGCCCCTATCAAACTCACTAAGTTGACGAAATCGTACAGGTCTCCGTACTCTAGGCATCGTAACCGATCGTAAAGGATATCAAGAACCAAAATTCGCCAACGTTGACTCGTTACTGCGGCTGAAATATTCATTTTTAGAGCGTTAGTGAATTAAAAAAAAGCAGTATAAAAACCGGAGTGTCCAACTGATAAGGCTGAAAATTTTTTCACTTGTTATTTACAGTAAGATAAATACATTCACCAACTTTTATTAAAATAAAACCATTTAAACTGGGTGTTCGGATTTATATGTCACTTAGTATAGTATCGAGCACTAAAACCGGAAACTAAATAAGAATATTTTAACTGTAAAATGATGTTTGTTTTCGTACTGATATTCTTGTCACTGTAACAAAAAATAACAAAACAAGTTTTTATCGCTGTTGCTGTGGATACGGCAGGAAATTAGAGTTGTTTGTAGAGATATGCATGCTAGTGGGTTTGTGTTCAAGTAATTATTAAATGTACCACCATTTTGTCGTAGGTAAAGGTATTGACTTTATATTCTGGGGTTATAAAGTACTCGTCAGGAGCTATAAAACGATGTGCCACAAGAACCCGTTTTCATATAATTTTTTTCCAAATATGGAGCCCAGCGGCGATCTTGACATTTTCATCTGTCAATTTTACCTTGTTTTAATTTTTTGAATTGACCCGTTCAAAAAATTAAATGGGAGGGGGACATCAAAGACAAGCACTGTACGTATGTGTAGATTGAATCCGCAAGTACAATCACGGACGACAGATGCTCTTGTGCGTCCCAAGAGTCCCTCTCGACACGAGCGTCGCTCCTAAAACCGTATTAGAGTCACATGCAGCTCATTCTTCTTGTAAGAGTTGCTCATCGTGCGCCACTCTGCGCCGAATTAACCATATGCTCGGTGCTGGTGCAGCGGCGACATCTCGGTCGGAGAATCTAGTTAGCGTGTCGCTAATAGAGCCCCCGGAGAGATCCCTGCGGGACATATCTCCAGCACCCCGTCCATTGTTGTGACGCGGAATCGCGCAGTGGCGCGCTTATATTTCGCAGTTGAATATGAATAATTACTAGATAAAATGAAAAAAAAATGTTTTTAAGAATAACCTTCGATTTAGCTGTTGATAAAGTAAGCCAACAATTTAAAAATATATCTTCCCGATTGGAAATATACTAAGTGACATATAAATCCGAACACCCAGTTTAAATGGTTTTATTTTAATAAAAGTTGGTGAATGTATTTATCTTACTGTAAATAACAAGTAAAAAAATTTTCAGCCTTAACAGTTGGACATTCCGGTTTTTATACTGCTTTTTTTTTTAATTCACTAACGCTCTAAAAATGAATATTTCAACCGCAGTAAAGAATCAACGTTGGCGGATTTTGGTTCTTGACATCCTTTACGGTCGGTTACGATGCCTAGAGTACGATTTCGTCAACTTAGTGAGTTTGATAGGGGCCGTATAGTGGGACTTCGGGAAGCTGGACTTTCTTTTCGGGCAATTGCAGTTAGAGTACAAAGAAGTGTAGACACTGTGGTTAGGTGTTGTCAGGCATGGCTTCGAGAAGGCCGTACGTAAAGAGCAAGGGGCACTGGACGCCGCCGTAGAACAACAGACCGTGAAGATCGCCGCCTAAGATTATTGGCCTTAAGGGACCGTTTCTCCACTACCAGGTCCATTGCAAAAGAATGGTTTGCAGAACACGGAAGACCTATTGGCATGCAAAGTGTTTACCGACGAATGAGAAGTTTTGGCTTGTTTTCATACCGGCCACACTGGGTCCTCCCTTTAACTCGAGAACACCGACGTAATCGCCTTGAGTGGTGCAGACAACGGTCACTCTGGGATCCGGAATGGAA